TAACAATCATTCAGCCTAGAAACTACATAGAGCAAAGTAGACAGGAGATAAATTATTGTCCATACCTAATGCATTAATGCAGTTTATGAATATAACGAAACTCAGTGTGATGAGAAAGAAAATATTTTAGTGCATCACAATCGGTCAGTACTGTAGTTCACCTTCATAGGTTTCAAGAACAAGAATAATATCAACTGAATTGTAAGATACTTACGAGCGATCCTGAGACCATTGTCTTCATTCCCACGGTGCGTGGTATCGGCTACAGAAGCTTAAAGGCCGCAACATAGACTGTCCCTGCGGAAGGTATCATTTTCCGATTGTTTGACTTCTGATTGGTGCAACCACCAACAGGGGTGAACTTAGGGTGTGCGTTTCCGGTTATGCCTGACCTGAAATGATGGGAACATTGCTATGAGATAATCCTGACATAAATATTAGTCCTATGGTGCATCAAAGACCTAATTTTAGGAGGCTGATGAAGACCGTCAATTTTGTGAAGTTCATCAGTTACGAAATACTTGTCAATGGCACTACCACAGAACTTGAGAGCACTGTGAATTCAACCCAAATCCAACGATAATCTTCAATATTATATGACAACAAGCTAAGGATATGAGACACAACATTTTAAGTCCTACAGTTCTTTAATAAAATAGCTTAGCTAACATCCACTGCAGTCCTTTTTCCTGGGAATTCGTTACCGTCACTCAGAGAAATGGAATAATTGAAACAAATCATATCACTTTTCACTTAGTTCAACTGAGGACGCCGGATTGAGTCCGCTGGTTCCGTCATTTAACCAAAACGATGAGGAATAGGCAGTCAAGTGCGGTATGAAATGATCATTTACTCAACAACGCAAATGATCAATATTTTGTTTTATTTTCACACACGTCTGAATCCATACTGTGTGCCAAATAAATCATGGTACAAAAATCTTTAGAAAAATGAAAAGCGTTCCATAATCTGCATGTGATTATTATACTATATTATATAATTATATTATATGTCACACTTGTCTGAGGACAGACTGTGTGCCAGGCAAATCATGGTATAGTGATCTTTATAAACAGAAAAAAAGTTCCATGATTGGCTTGTGGGCTGAATACTGCCAGGTTGCCCAGGCAAAGGTAGATGAATTTTCTTGAAGAATCCACAACCGGAGCGTTTGAGTAGCCGAAACCTGACCCGCAGGGCAGCGGGGCGGATCATACGCCCTTCGGATAGGGTCAAACGTCCAAGGTAGCCAATACACCTCAATGGCCAATCGAGCCGGTAACCACTACCACAACCAGAAAGGTGTGTGTGTGGTTCGTACGCTTCCTCTTGGTTGGTTTGGAATCAGGGTTTTTTGCCAACTTTCTTAGGTGAACTACCAGTGGTCCTCCAACTCGGTTATAGCCCCAGATGTCAGTTTTTCGTTCTCTCACTTTGGTGGGAAAACACCTCCGCCACGAGAAGACAGTGAGTAGGGCTTCGTCAGCAG